TATTAAACACAGAAAAAATATATTTTTTTTTGTCTTTATCGTTTCGAATGTGCTAGACAAGGACGAATATTGAAAAGCATTTTTTTTTTAAATTTTTGCAAAATTTCTTCATGTTCCAAGAACTCATAATAAACATTTTAATATCATATTCCAACAAAATTCAATAAAACCTTGACCTTGTTGGATTAACAAAAAAAAAGAAGAGAAGAGAATCCAATAAATCTGCCCGTATAACTTTGTCTTTTCTCTTTGTTGTTTCAAATGCATTAGACAAAGATGAAAATATTTCAAACCTTATTTTTTGATGGTCAAAGTAGGCTTTAGAAAATCGATGTTATCTTTCTTCTTTGTCATTTCAACTGCATTAAACAAATATAATAATTTTTTTTTTGTCTTTATCGTTACTTTACATGTTTTTCAAAAATTCTTTCCTGGTTCTTCTCTTCAGATTCTCTTGGATTCTCAAAATCTACAGATCATCAGTTATTGATTTGGATTTTTTTCTAGAAGACTTCTAGAAGTTTTTAGGTCTTGAATTCTGATTTATCACTTCACAAAGGAATTTTCAAGGAAATTGAACGAAGTTGGAAAGAGTTCAAAGAAAGACCATGCAAATTTTTCTCCTATTGTTTTTTTTTTTTTGGAGAAATCTAGGATTTTTGAGTTCTGAGTCAGAGTTATTGGCATTTTTCTCAAAAGACTGTTAAGATTTCAAAAATCCGAATCCAGAATCTTCAACTCTTTCCATGATCTTCTCTTCAAATCCTCTTGGATTCTTAAGATCCACAGATTATACGTAATTGATTTGGATTTTTTTCTAGAAGACTTCTAAAAGGATTTAGGATCTTGAATTTTGATTTATCACTTTACAAAGTTCCAAATTTTTCTGGAAATGTTTACTTCAAGTCAAACGAATTGAGAGAATATTTGTGAAGATCGAAGGAAGCTCAAATGGAAAGCAAAAGAGAAGGTATTGAGAAAGTCTTAAGAAAAAGTTAAGGAATTTTCAAGGAAATTGAACGAAGTTGGAAAGAGTTCAAAGAAAGACCATGCAAATTTTTCTCCTATTGTTTTTTTTTTTGGAGAAATCTAGGATTTTTGAGTTCTGAGTGAGAGTTATTGGCATTTTTTTCAAAAGACTGTTAAGATTTCAAAAATCCGAATCCAGAATCTTCAACTCTTTCCAGGATCTTCTCTTCAAATCCTCTTGGATTCTTAAGATCTACATATTATACATAATTGTTTTGAATTTTTTTCTAGAAGACTTCTAAAAGGATTTAGGATCTTGAATTCTGATTTATCACTTTACAAAGTTCCAAATTTTTTTGGAAATGTTTACTTCAAGTCAAAAGAATTGAGAAAATATTTGTGAAGATCGAAGAAAGCTCAAATGGAAAGCAAAAAAGGAGGTATTGAGAAAGTCTTAAGAAAAAGTTAAGGAATTTTCAAAGAAATTAAACGAAGTTGGAAAGAGTTCAAAGAATGATCATGTAAATTTTTCTATTGTTTTTTTTTTTTTTTGGAGAAATCTAGGATTTTTGAGTTCTGAGTCAGAGTTATTGACATTTTTCTCAAAAGACTGTTAAGGTTTTGAAAATCAGAATCCAGAATCTTCAACTCTTTCCAGAATCTTCTTTTCAAATCCTCTTGGATTCTCAAGATCTACAGATCATTAGTCATTGATTTGGATTTTTTCCTAGTGTAGGGGGGGCTTGTGAAAGGGGTCTAATAATCCGGGACTTCTCCCCAGAATAAAGCACGTTACTTTAATGGACAAAAGGTATATTCGCAGTAGAATGAACTTAATAAAATGATATAAAATATGACATAAAATAATAATGACATTAATCAATACATAAAACCAGCACCAGCACTTTTCAAAATTCTAGAAAACCAGGTACAGATAATTCGTTAGCAAGTTCAACAACTTAAAGCCGTGACACACACTAATAAAATTACTACAGATCGGCCATTCCTGACATTTGGCCGTCCACGGACACAACATAAAATAACATCATTTCTTAGAAGCATATAAGACATAAGAACATAACATGAACCACAATAAATCTAAAAATTCATAAAAGCTTCAGAGTGATCATAAAATGTTACATAAGTTCATAATTTCATAAAATCTGGATCGGTTCACACATAAACAAAATGACATTAGACATAAGTACCTATATAAAGTAAACATAAATCATAATTCATAAATTCCATAAAATACATAGGTACTGTTTCATAAATCAAAATTGGATTTGCTACTTTTTTATACTTGCCCCGTAAGTAAGCTTGTCAATAGCAATAAGCTGCATAACCTGTTCGGGTACTTGGTATACTGCCTTAACTGCATCCAAATGCTGTACCCAAGTCTCAATACCACTGAAATTAGGCAGAAGAGCTGCTATCTCTTCGTTGTTAGACTGTAGTTGCAACAATATCTTCCACTGTTGTTAGCTGAGATAGCTGAGTCGGAGATCCATCACCTGCACCCGTCTGATTCAGATCTTCCATAGACATTGTCGGGCTGTTATAGGACATATCCCACTTCTGATATTGTAGGGGGGGCTTGTGAAAGGGGTCTAATAATCCGGGACTTCTCCCCAGAATAAAGCACGTTACTTTAATGGACAAAAGGTATATTCGCAGTAGAATGAACTTAATAAAATGATATAAAATATGACATAAAATAATAATGACATTAATCAATACATAAAACTAGCACCAGCACTTTTCAAAATTCTAGAAAACCAGGTAAAGGTAATTCGTTAGTAAGTTCAACAACTTAAAGCCGTGACACACACTAATAAAATTACTACACTAGAAGACTTCTAGAAGGATTTACGATCTTGAATTCTGATTGATCACTTCACAAAGTTTCAAGTTTTTCTGGAAGTGTTTACTTCAAGTCAAAAGAATTGAGAAAATGTTTGTGAAGATCCAAGGAGGCTCAAATGAAAAGAGAAAGAGGAGGTATTGAGAAAGTCCTTAGAAAAAGCGAAGGAATTTTCAAGAAAGTTGGAAAGAGTTCAAAGAAAGACCATACAAATTTCCCTCCTATTGTTTTTTTTTTTTGGAGAAATCTGGGATTTTTGAGTCCTGAGTCAGATTTATTGGCATTTTTCTCAGAAGACTGTTAAGATTTCAAAAATCCTAATCCAGAATCTTCAACTCTTTCTAAGATCTTCTCTTCAAATCCTCTTGGATTCTCAAGATTTACAGATCATAAGTCATTGATTTGGATTTTTTTCTAGAAGACTTCTAGAAGGATTTAGGATCTTGATTCTGATTTATAACTATAAATTTCCAAGTTTTTCAGGAAATTTTCATCTCAAGTTAAAATAAATGGAGAGAATATTTGTGAAGATCTAAGTAGGCTCAAATGGAAAGAAAGGAAGGAAGTATTGAGAAAGTTCTGAGAAATATCTAAGGAATTTTCAAGGAAATCAAAGGAAGTTGGAAAGAGTTCAGAGAAAGATCATGCAAATTTTCCTCCTATGGTTTTTTTTTTGAGAAATCTAGGATTTTTGAGTTCTAAGTCAAAGTTATTGGCATTTTTCTCAAAAGATTGTTGAATTTCAAAAATGCGAATTCAGGGCAGGGATTCTGTAACGAATAGAGATATTTTTTCTATTTCTATTGATATCCCATCTCTATTGATTTCGAAAAGAGAGAAGACAGCAAGTGCCAAAGTGATAGGGATAACGATCTCTATCCGTTACAGAGTCCCAGCCCAGAATCCTCAACTATTCCCAGGTTCTTCTCTTTAAATACTCTTGGATTGTCACGATTTACAGATCATGAGTCATTGATTTGGATTTTTTTCTAGAAAACTTCTAGAAGGATTTAGGATCTTAAATTTTGATTTATCACTTCACAAATTTTCACACACAAGTTTTTTTGGAAGTGCTTACTTCAAGTCAAAAGAATTGAGAGAAAGTTTATAAAGATCCAATAAGGCTCAAATGGAAAGAGAAAGAAGAAGTATTGAGAAAGTCTTGAGATAAATCTAAGGAATTTTCAAGGAAATCAAAGGAAGTTGGAAAGAATTCAAAAAAAGACCATGTAAATTTTCTTCCTCTTGGTTTTTTTTTTTGGAGATTTCTAGGATTTTTGAATTCTGAGTCAGAGTTATTATTTTGCAAATTGCTTGGCATTTTTCTCAAAAGACTATTGGGATCTTAAGAATCTGAATCCAGAATCTTCAACCATCTTTCCTGATTCAAATCTTATTGGATTTTCAAGATCCACAGATCATGAGTCATTGATTTAGATTTTTTTCTAGAAGGATCCAGGGTTTTGAATTCTGATTTGCAGAGGAAGTAAGTATTGAAAAAGTTCTGAGAAAAATCTGAGAATGTATAAGAGAATATTAAGGAAACCAGAGAGAGTCAAAGAAAGTTCAAAGAAAGACCATGCAAATTTCCTTCCTAATGTTTTCCTGGAGAAATCAAGGATTTCTCAGTTCCGAGTCAAGAGTTATTATTTTGCAAATTTCTCAAAAAACTATTGGAATCTTAGGAATGTGAATCCAGAATTTTTAACCCTTTGCTTTTTTTTCTTCAAATCCTCTTGGATTATCAAGATCTACAGATCGACATCAGTAATTAATGTGCAATTTTTTTAAAATAAAGATGATTCTTGTTTATTATATGTATATTAGGTCTGTTTCTACAGAAATCACAAACCAGTCAGAGGCAATTTCATTGGTTGAAACTAGTTTTCTGACTGTTTTCAACCAATTAAATTCGCTCTGACTGGTTTGTGATTTCTGCAGAAACAGACCTATTATATGTAGATAATTTTCCCAAAGGGAATCAATATTCCAAATGATTATTATTGGCTCTTGATTCGTTAGACCCCAAATTTTTAGGTTTTATTATTTTGACCATAACGAATTTTTTGCTTCAAGCAATTTTTTAAAAAAAAATTGAGTCTGTTTTCAACTTTATAATAAGCAGTTTTAGATTAAAATAACAATGAATTATCAATTTTTTACATACGTTTTCTCCATTTGATCGCTAATAGCACATCATCACAAAAACGATCCAAAAATAATAAAAATACGCGGCCGAAAAAATTAATTTTCCGCGAACGAAAATTTCGCGATCGTCGCATGGTCGTCGCGACGCCAAAAAACGACGTGTGACGCTTGCGATGGTCCAATGAAAAATCGTGTCTTCTTCTTCGGCGACCGGCCGACGCGCTGCGACGGCGACGCGCGTCTTTCGAGGCTGAGTGCTGAACTGCAACTGACGAAAACTCCTTTTTTTTTTCGTAAAAAAAATTGCTCCTCTGGTTGATACTGGTAATGGTCAGGGACCGGTTTGTTCGCGTCCACTCTACAACCTGCGAATTTTTGAATCTGTTCTTCCTTCATTTCGCGGTATGGTTTTTTTGGTAATGGCCCGGCCGAAGAACAACCTTGAGATTGCCATCTGGCTAAGTTCTCTTCGACGGATTTTATAACGTGACAATAACAGTTGATATTTTTATTTGAAATGTTGTTGCCACAGCTGTATTATAATTCGAATATTCTCAATGATAAGGCTTTCTTTTTCCACAATTCACAAAAATTTAAAAAAAATTAATTTTCGTAAGGTATGCTTTCTAGGGGGCAAATTGTTACAAGCAATTAGGATCGGCTTATTCACTTCTTGATGAACTGTCAGGTATGCAATCTGACAGATAAAAACGCAATCTATAATTCCATTGGTCGGCCAATTATCTGCCAGCCAATAGAATTATAGAACGGTAAATTTATCGCAGATACATAGTTATCAGCCAGTTTATGTAAGAGATTAATAAAGTAGGCCTTATAGTTTCAGAGATAAAATTGCTTTGGAATGAGTTTTTCTATTTTTTTGAGTGCCTTTTTTTCATAGATTTCGGCTTCAAATCTGATAATAATTTAGTGTATGGAGTTTGGGGTATGTTGATTGACCATTAGGATACAAAATATCGACAAAAAAAAAATGAAATTTCATCGTTTATGTTGTATATTTCGACATCCTGAGTAAAAGTTCTGATGGGTACAAACCGTGTATGAATGACGGTATTTTGAAAAGTATTTGTTTGAAGATCCATTGTGTATTTTTAAAACAAACATAAATAGAATAATGCCAAACTATACTGTATTTTTTCCCAAGATAGATTTTGACTTGACACTGTCAACTTTGAAACATAAATAATTACGCTTATTGGTCGCAAAATGCCATTTGCACCTCGTGCATTGTAAAACTAATTACAACCTGCAGGAGCACCTCATTTTCCGACCAATCAGGGCCAAGCGTTATTGTTAATGTTCCAAAGTTTTCAATGTCAAAATCCATCTTGGGAAAAAATACACGTACTTTACCTACATACCTTGAGTTCAGTACAATAAGATTTTCACCCTCAAATCCTAACTCGTTTCGTCGCTTTACAGCTAGTGATTCCCACAAAACCAACGAGACGAGACTTTCATAAAGTCTTGTCTCGTCTCGCCAATGAAATAGAAGTCTTGTCTCGAGTCTCGTCTCGCAGCCTCGAGTCTCGTCTCGTCTTGCGTCTCGTACGGGAGTTTCGCAAATGTATCGAAGTCTCGTCATGTATAGGTATGATCTCGTTTCAGCTTAAAGTCTAGTACAGGATACTTACCTACTTACTATAATGCAAAATTAAAAAAAGAAAATTATAACCGTTGAAAAATAAACAAAATTCAAGTTTCTATCCTTTTTCGCCAATACCCAATCTCATAAAAACTCGTACCGTACCTAAACCCTAGGGTAAGAATCAGGAAGCAGGCGAATTGGGACGCGCCGATGCAGTTGGAGCAGTGCAGCAGTGGCGTAACTTCAAATCCGGGCCCCCCCGCAAATATTTTTCCGGGGCCCATCTTGCATGCATGTGTATATGAACAAATAAATTATATTCTATAAATATATAAGATTCTGAAGTTGCCATAACTTGACCGAAACTGAAGCGATAATGATGAAATTGGATGATACAGAAGCGGCACAAAAAGTTACCCAGAATTTAGATCCTCAAAATTTTAATTATATTGGATGACGCATTCCGAAGTTATCACCTGGGCATATAAAACGTCGTGGGACACTCTGTATAATAATATAATAGTTTTTTTCCAACATAGCAGGAAACCGTACAATGTACCGTCACGATTCTGCGCAAAACCTAATATTTGTGCGTAGACCTCAAAATTCGTCTACTGAGTGGTTTCAAAACCATTCATGAACGGGTTTTTTGACGCGTTGGAACAGACCTAATATATGTACAGTCGTGAGCACAAAAAGTGGGACACCCGTTTTTTCCTATTGTAAAACGTGCTCACTAGCAATACCTACGGCAATGACAGGGATTGTTATATTTGACAAAAGATCGATTATAGAGAAAAGACTGATTTACGGAAAATAGCGAAAAATGGCAAGACCTGTCAGTCGGGTGTCCCACTTTTTGTGCTCATGACTGTACCTATACATTCACATAATAAGGTCTAGCAGAATGAAACAACGCTTTTATTTCCAGTTGTTCAAAAACTCGTTTAAAAATAAGAAACCAAAAGACATATCTAAATAAATCAAATTTTCAATATGAAACAAAAAATAAGGAACATAGGACTAATACGGAGATTGCTTCAGTTAAACTAGATCTAAGTTAAGTTCCCCACATGTTCAATTAAGATTAGATGGAATAAATGGAGTAGCTCGTAGCAAAAGAATCTAATTCGGACTTAGAAGTATTAAAAAAAAAAACTATTGGCTAAAGCTCTTTTGGGCTAATAATAAAAAACGATTTTTTTTTGAAAAACTTAACACCCTGTATCTTGGAAACAAAGCGTTTCCGGATCTATATCCATGGGAACTTTTCTAATTATTTTCATGAATACTATCTGCCCTTGAAGTTTGTAACACCCTTTCGGAAACACCCTGTATAGACAATCACCCGGTACCCACAAGTACATAATTTTTTCGAGCGTCCCTGGTATATGAAGGAAGAATAAAATTATAAACACCTACTAAACATTTTTAGTTAATATAAGGAAAGATGAAATAAACAACTTTAAAAGCAATACATGCAGGATTTTTTGCATTATGTACAAGGTGCTGCAATTTGGAGTGTTTTAATAGGAAAAAAATACTTCCAGACCAGATAGAGGAAAATTGACTCAGGTCGTGTTTATGTTGGAGCTGTGATACACGATAAAGCAACGATACTAATGTATAAAATCTGTTTTTGTTTTTTTAAGATAAAAGTCAGATTGAAATTATATTGGCAATACAATGTAAAATTGTCAATGCTTTCAAATTTTTTATGTAGAAAAGGCTTGTGTTGCCAACATAGTTACTAAATTTTTGACTTGGGGAATTATCTTTAAAAAAAAACAGACTTTAGTATCATTAGTATAGTTGCTTTTATCGTTTATCGCAGCTCCAACATAATCGCACCCTTAGATGTCATGGAATTGATTTTCGAGAAACGTCAATTGTCAAAAACCAAAAACCGTATTGCGATATCTTCAATGGTACCATCGTCACCAAAAGTATCTGGGACACAAATAATGCATAATAATCTCCTGGACTAATTCTACTGTCATTCATTTTAATGCATTTGATTCATAGTTTGACAAATATTTGTCAATAAAATTCATGTAATACGACAAGAGCTAATGTGATACTGTCCCAGTTACTTTTGGTGACGATGGTACCTACCATTGTTACAGGGCGATTTTGGATTTTCCCCTATTATGAAAAATAACTATAAGTTTTTTGTTTATCAATTTTTTTAAATTTTTGTGAAAACATCTTAAGGCGGTTACACACGGACGTGGATGTCTGAAAACATGTATGCACATACATGAACGTCCAAACAAAAACATCAATGTGTATGCAAAATACCGTCGCGTTTTTGAATGTGCAATTTTGTATGCACACTCGGAATACTGTAGCAAGAATAGAAAGACTGCAGTTTTGTGCGAGCGTCTATACAAAAGCGCCATGCACGTTGTTGTTTGCACGTTGATGTATGCACGTATATGTATTAAGACATCCACGTCCGTGTGTAACCGCCCTTAGGGATACTTTTTTGAGCATAATCCAGTGGCGTACTCAGTTTTTTTCTATTTCACTCCCATTTTGAGATATTGACCAAAATTCGATTTTTTTATAGGTATAGGACACCCTATATATTAATAGCTCATTGGGTAGCTCTGCTTTTGCTGATTTCAATGATATAAAGTTCGATAGGTTTATGTCTAACAGTTTTTGAGAAAAAAAATTATATGTTTCAGTCATAAGAAACAGTGTGTTAGAAAGAGACCTTCCTCATTTTCCTTACACATATTAAAACCTTTTCTAACACATTGGTCCTTACGACAAAACAGATATAATTTTCTTTCTCGAAAACTGTTAGAGATGAACCTATTGAACTTTATATTATTGGATTCAACAAAAACAGAGCTATCCAATGAGCTATTAATATATAGGGTGTTTCATTTGAAAATATCGGACTTTGGTCGATATCTCGAAATCGGAGCGATATAGAAAAAAACTGAGTCCGCCACTTTGGTGTGCTCAAAAAAGTGTCTCCATAATGTTTTTACAGAAATAAAAAAAATTGATAAATAAAAAAACTTATAGCTATTTTTCATAATAGGGGAAAATCAAAAATCGCCCTGTATCAATGGTACCACTGAAGATATCGTGATACGGTTTTTGACAATCGACGTATCTAGAAAATCGATCCCATGACGTCTAGGTCAATTTTCCTTTATCTGGTCTAGAAGTATGTTTTTCCTGTAAAAACACTCCAAATTGCAGCACCCTGTACACTTTATATAGGTAGGTACTTAGGTTGCCTAAGGTAGTATTAGAAAACCCCCTGTAGATCTGAAACTAGTCATAGGATCGGTTTGTACCCATGAGAACTTCAACTCAACTTTACTTTTACTCAACATACCAAAATTTGGTTAAAATCCGCGTTCAACCCAAATCCCATAAGAAGGGTACGGGGTCCTTTGCTCTTGATTGGTTTCTATTTTGAACGTTCGCCACTTTTTCTAGGACACCCTGTATGGTGCTAGAATAATTCGTGTCTCTGTTCAATACTGTTGGTTAAACAAAGACGACAAGCGAAAGTATTATGGAGTATTTGGTTTTAAGGACTTACAAGTCTTCATTATTTTTGTCTAAACATTTTTTGAATCAAAATTTTATTTATTCCCGGCTCTTGATTGTTTT